GATAAGTCTGTGCCTGTGACAAAGAGACAATAGAGCTGTACACATGCTTGACAGCAACGTCAATTTCCTGCTTCTGATTGTACAGTACAATTACTATAGTTATGCATTGTGGAGCCACTGGGAGAGACTGGGGGAAGGATGCACAGGGCCTCTGAATATTTTTTCTTTTTCTTTTTTTTTGTTTTTAAACATTATTTTATTTTATTAGCAAGTGTGTAGAATATAATGTTTACATTCCTTGTGTGGAAAAATAAGTCAAGTTTTGTCTAGCTGACTCTCTCCAAGTGTCCCTCGTAAGGGAGTTGCCAAGCGTGGCTGTGACAACCATCCTTGGGGATGCTGTGGGGCACAGACAGATACGAACTCATCCACCTCTTCATCAGTGTCATCCCTCAACAGAAGCAGAAGGTGGAGGGGCCAAGTGTACACCAGTGACCTTTGCAACACAAGAACAAGGTCAAACAAAACACAGACTTGCACAGAGTTCACTGGGGACTCTACTTCATCCAGTTCCACCTTTTGTTGTTCTCAGGCTCTGGGATATATGGAGTCCCATGGGGTTCGGTGCCTCCACAGACAGGAAGAGGGTTGAGGTAAGGACTAGGGGTAGTTAAAACCACGAGATAGGATAAAGCCAAGTATAAAGGAAGATGAATGAATGAAGAGGATCTTGGGGGCCAGGAGACCCACTACTTTTCTCTGCAGGATTTATGAACAGAAGAACAAAAACAGAAGAGCAGCCACATCCTAATACCCCATTCTGGGGTCCGAGGATTTAGCTCAGGGATTCCACTACCTGCCTCACAAGCACAAGGTCCCAAGTTCGATCCCCGGTACCAAAACAAAAAACAAAAAAAATTAATCCTAATACACCATTCTAGATGTCCTCAAATGGAAAAAAGGTAAGTCACTGTCATAAACAAAGGAGAATGACCAGGAAGAGATGAAGTAAGCTATCTATATTGTGAAATGTAAGTTGCTTTTCCATTTGTTCTGTGTCAGTATCAGTAGGAGGGAAAGTAAAAGCTAGGAAAGGCTTTGAGCAGCATCCAGAAGGAGAAAGCCCAAGCAACCTGTGACAATGCCTAGTGCCCCCCATATTCTCTTCATTCTTGCTACTCCCTCCATACAATCAGGGCAAGGGGGGACCCTCAGGAGGCAGATGCCTGAGAAGGAAAGCATGGGGTTGCTTTGCTAGAGATATACCACCACTGGGGAGAATGGGCTATCTTAACTCCTGGAGCCAAATAAGAAAGCCTTCGGTGCAGGGGATTCTATCGAGAGTGTCTTCCTGAGCATGCAGTGGGTTGTTGGGATATAGTGCTTTGTTCTGAAAATCAAGACGTTAAGCTCCCCGTGCCCTCAGAGAGACCTCAGACAGACATGGGCCAGGACAAAGCACTTCCTCCATTTATGGTCCTCCCAGGTCAGAGGTCAGCAGGATTACTCAGGCCAAGCTGTGTGGTTTGCCTTTCCTTTCTTCCCACTGCTCTCGCCCCACCCTGCATCCCCACTGGGATGCCTTCCTACAGTTAAATATATTTATATTATTTCACTACATTGGAGCCTTATATGTGTAATTTCCTGAAATTTGGCAGCAGTTAGTGACCAACCACTGCTGCTGTAAGATAACCTCGGTTTGGCCCAACAGAAAGTTTCATTTAAGAGAAAAACAGACCTCATTGAGGCTGCCAGGATAAGTTAGCCACAAAGGCTCCCTCCCACCAGTACCCCCCATAAGCACTGAATGAACCTGTTTTTAATTTAGAGTTCTTGGCACTGAACTACTCCCTTTGACAGTGATTGTTTGAGCAGGTCCTATGCTTCCTAAGATTTCTGCAAGCCAGACGCCATAGAAATTGTCTCTAAATTAAATACAGTGACATTTACTCCTGTTGGAGGAGGCCCAAAAAATTTACCCTGAGAAGCTGGGGGTGTAGCTCAGTAGTAGAACGTATGCCTTGCCTGTGTAAAGCCCTGGGTTCAATCCCCACTATCATTTAAAAAAAAATTCATCCTGAGGGTGGCCAGGCTCTTTAGATGAGAGTTCTGAAGAGTGAGAGGTCATAAACCTGTTAGCAAGTGGACGCATCCAAACTGCAGTACTGCAACTTCCCTCTGACATAGCTGGGTTATGTGTCATCAGGGCCTGGAGACAACCTTGGCTAACGGCAATAAGTCCCATGGTATCCCCACCTGCTAAATCATAGTTGAGCAGCATAGTGCTTATGTGAGAGCCTGGTTGCACAGTAGGTAGCATCTAGAGTCTTCCATGCCTGATTTCTTTACATGTCACCTTTTCTTGGCTGTATGTTCACTCATATGAACCAGTCTTACAAAGCTTTGTGTCCCTTGTCATTAATAAGGATGATTAAATCCACCCTATAGAGCTGCAAAGAGAACAACATATGGGCACAATATTTCCATTACTTCTGGTGCATTCATATAGCTCAATTACTACTACTACTAGTACTAGTACTAGTACTACTACTACTACTGGCATTATCAGTATTATTAGCCATAGTTTTTACTTAACTAACAACTATACATCATAGAATTAATGGAACAATAGTTCCTAAAGGATGTTTGAATGTGCAGTCCTATTTGTTGAAGCAAGAAGTGGTCTCAGATTGGTACCAACTGTAGACAGCTCAAGATCATTTGCCAAGCCCCTTTCCAAAGCTGTATCTCATATAATCCTTACTGAGATGCTCAAGGTAGAAATCATTCATATTACTGAGTTTTTCAGGTCAGAACCTGAGGCTTAGGAAAGGTGAGTGGTCTCCTGTGTCACCCCGTGAATAATTATCTGGGATGGGACATGAATCTATCTAAGTCCTCTGCCTTTGTCCCTTCCCTAAACTATATGGAATACGGGTCTTTGCAGGAATGTCCACAAAGCAATTGGTTAATCTGTCCTAGCAACAAGGAACCTAGAAAAATGACAAATCCCCAGGTTGTGTGTTCTCTGTTCCCAGCCATGTCACAAGATACATGCAGCCCATTCCCTGCTTGGAAGGTACAGAACAGCCTCCTGCTGGGAGGAGAAAACCTTCCAGACAGTCAATACTGCCCCAGAAGGGAAAGTCTTAACTGAGTTTATTAACAGGAATGCAGATTTTAGACTTGCCTGAAGATAGCCAAACATGCCTGGTTTCAGGCACATAAGTGAAGCAAGCTAGGTCTCCAAAACTATTCTTAGAATTGTTGTGGATCAATGGAGGTGATGATTAAAAAGATCTGGCTTTCCAGAGTCCAGAAAAACTCTTAACTGATGTGAGCCCTGAACTCCAGTCAGGAGGCCAACTGGTCTGGGCCCAGGCCTCAAGCACAAATCATCAACATGTAGGAAGTTATCTTATTTTTATAGCTCTCCAAAGAAACTGCTGCCATAAACTTATCTATTTTAGGGGCTCAGGTGGGTCTAAATGGCTTATTCTTAGTACCTCTTTACCCTCCGTGCCAGGAATCTGTTCTGGAACAGCTGCTCCTCCTGCCATTCTTGGGGAAATGGGAGGGAGATCCTGACCCCCACCCCACGCCCCATCCTGCCATAGTCTCATTCCTTTCAGACCACTAAACCTCTGCCCCCATCCTTTCCTTCCATTTTCTAGTTTTAAAATGTCAAAATGATCACAATTATTAGCTGACACAAATGGCCATGTTCCACCTTTTTTTGTGTGTGTGTGGGTCCCAGGATCAAACTCTGGACCTTATGCTTGCTAGGCAGGTGTCGGCTCCACTGAGCTAAATCCTGGGCACCCTTCTAACTGGTGGAAACAAAATAACACACTTTGCTCCTATCTAGGTCTGGCTAAAGGTGAAGAGCTCTGAGTATTATTTTAAATTATCTCGGAGTTTCTGTCTTATTTGTATTCAACTGTGAAATCAATTCAGCCTGTATTTATGGTGGTGTAGGGAAAGAGCAGAAGCAGGAATAGGTAACCCCAGTTCCACTGGTAACAGTAGGAGTTTACGGATGTGGATGGGACCCACTCGGACCTGAGGTCTCTTCCTGTGAGACATGTACTAGCCCGTAGAGACCTTCCCTCTCCCGTGTTGCCTAGATTCCCACACTTGCTCCATTGGAGGCTTTACACAGTTTCATCTGATTGTAATAATTGTGGAAGCGATCTCTACACCATAACCCATGGCCTGACCCCGAGGCACTCTGGTCTGGGTGGGTGCCTGTAGACTCGAATTTCCTCATGAGTAGCTTTGTTCAGGATCTTTGAATGTGGATTCAACCATTCCAGGTCCTCCAGGACAAGTGAGAGAGGTGTTCTTCTTCCTAATAGCTGTTAATACCCCATTTTCTCCTTGCAGACTCCCCTTAACTTGCCAAGCCAGAGGCACCTGCTTCAACATTTTTCAGTGAACCACGAGGGCTGCTGCTTTTCTGGAGCCATCAGCCGAGGGTTGCTTGTCTCAGCAACCACTGAGCGAGGAAGTCTGTTTTGCTGGGAGTTCTAAGTTTGCCAGGTAACAGAGCTGGGAGAAGATCAAAGCCTGAGGAAGGCTCCGATCAAAGCCTGACAGACATAGATAGCTTCTACCACCACCCCAGGATGCGCTCTGACCAGCATCTCTTAGTGCCCACAGCCGGTCCCCAGCAGCTGCCAACCTAGGCACCTCCAAGCCCGTCCCACAAAAGGAGTAACTGCCGCAGGTAGACCAAGGGCTCCTCCAAATGTTCTTTTCCAATCAAAGAACAGGACAGTTCCCTCATCGGCTGCCTCACTTCTGTTCTGTACGGAGCCGCCTAAGAGGTACATTCATCGTCCTGTTCCTTACCCTGACGAGAGCCTGTGAGCACACACGCACGTGCACACGCCCACCACGCGCTCGCTGTGCCAGGTCCGGGGATCAACCCCGAGCTCGGCACCCAGGGCGCAGGAGGAAGCCGGGCGCACCCAGCTCCTTCTGGGCTTCTGCAGCGCGGAAGCCCGCGGCCTGCTGAAGGTGCGCTCTGCCTCGATGGTCCCGAGCACTTTGCTTACCTTTATGTTGCCAAAGACCGCACGGGAACAGCGGCCGGCTCGGCCCG